CTTATAAATCTTTGTTGGCAATGACAGAGGTTAAACGTTTTCTGTAAGTCTTCACAAGGTTTTCACACACTGTTGCTGGTATTTTGGCTCATTCCTCCATGCAGATCTCCTCTAGAGCAGTGATGTTTTGGGGCTGTCACTGGGCAACACGGACCTATGAGAGACAAAATGGGGAAAAAAATCCAGAAAATCACATTGTCTGATTTTTCACCATGATTTGCAAATAAATTCTTTAAAAATCAGACAATGTGATTTTCTGGATTTTTTTCCCCATTTTGTCTCTCATAGTTGAGGTATACCTATGATGAAAATTACAGGCCTCTCTCATCTTTCACCATGATTTGCAAATAAATTCTTTAAAAATCAGACAATGTGATTTTCTGGATTTTTTTCCCCATTTTGTCTCTCATAGTTGAGGTATACCTATGATGAAAATTACAGGCCTCTCTCATCTTTCACCATGATTTGCAAATAAATTCTTTAAAAATCAGACAATGTGATTTTCTGGATTTTTTTCCCCATTTTGTCTCTCATAGTTGAGGTATACCTATGATGAAAATTACAGGCCTCTCTCATCTTTCACCATGATTTGCAAATAAATTCTTTAAAAATCAGACAATGTGATTTTCTGGATTTTTTTCCCCATTTTGTCTCTCATAGTTGAGGTATACCTATGATGAAAATTACAGGCCTCTCTCATCTTTCACCATGATTTGCAAATAAATTCTTTAAAAATCAGACAATGTGATTTTCTGGATTTTTTTCCCCATTTTGTCTCTCATAGTTGAGGTATACCTATGATGAAAATTACAGGCCTCTCTCATCTTTCAAATAAATTCTTTAAAAATCAGACAATGTGATTTTCTGGATTTTTTTCCCCATTTTGTCTCTCATAGTTGAGGTATACCTATGATGAAAATTACAGGCCTCTCTCATCTTTTTAAGTGGGAGAACTTGCACAATTGGTGGCTGACTAAATACTTTTTTGCCCCACTGTAAATTGGCAGACTGAACTGATTATTTCTCACTTCTCCAGCTAAGCATATACCAGGCCAAACTAACCATTTTCAACAGACTTTTCTGACTTGCTAAAGAGGAGGGGAAATACTTCTCAAATTCACTTTCCCTTTTATTCTTTCCAACCCAACTTAATGTTGAATAATTATAATAATTATAATAATAATTATAATACTTATTATAATGAATAATAACATAATTAAAGAAATAACGTAAAGGGGCTCAGGGCTCTGTCTGACTATCTGACTTCCCGAGCAGGACAGAATAGGACAGAATTAGTGTGGTGGGAGAAGATGGAATTTGGTAGAATTCTTCCACCAAAGAAAGGTGGAATTTGAAAATGGGCTGGATCTGTTTGTGAGCTGTGAAAAAAAAAAACACACCAGATTCCTTCAGTTGGGCACCAATCTGGGAGAAACAATTGGGCACCAGCTTGGAATGCTGCTGACTGCTCTGCTCTCAGACCCCAGTCACATGATCCAAAGCAGCTCTTACAGTATTAAAGAATTGGAAAAGATTTCAGTCACCAGGGTCAGTGTGCTTTCCTTACCTTGTTTGAAAAACAAAAAGGGTGGTGACTGTTTTGTTTCTCTGGAGTTTCATCTGTGGGATTACCCACCACTAAGCACATCATAGGTCCCTCCTTTGCACCCAGTGAAATAACTGCTTTAGTCAGGTCACACTTAAATAAAGAAAAAAAATGAATAACACAAATTCTCTTTCTCTGGTGTCGTAAATTGTTCATCATTTTTGCAGGTTTCCTTGTGAAAACATATCTCTTATATCCCCATCCATAGGTGACATTGGGCTTCTCTGAACAGGAAGAGCTTCCAGGGTCAAAGGTCAATCTGCACATAGAAGCTGCCCCTGGTGCTTTGTGCTCTGTCCGTGCTGCAGACAAGAGCGTTCTCTTGCAGACGAACCAAACTCTGACACCAGATTCGGTAAGGAAATACTGCCCTCCCCACTGCTGTGGTCAGTGAATTCTTCATCTGTTCCTTTCCCCATGAATGCACAAGCAGTAAAAACCAGGCTATGTGTGCAAACTAAAGTAAATGAAATTGTAAGCAGCTTGAGATAACTGATTTTCATAACTAGAGGCAGCTCTGCTGATAAAGATCACAAGGAAAGTGATAGTATTGTTGCACTTTTCAACATGTCTTTGCACATATGGTTGGTGCATTTTGAAATATCTTTACTGCTGTAAAGGTTAGGATCTTAATTTCTAAAATGAAGACATAAATTTCAAAGTAGCTGAGTTGTGTGGCTGGAACAGTGTACAGCATTTTTCCTAAGTTCTACAGGTTCTTGATCAGATATCTAGGGATTCTTCGATGTGGAAGCAGATTTATGGGTGGGTAGTCCTGCTTTGAAGCTTTGATGAGATTGCCATTTAATTCTGAATCACTTGCTGATGTTAGCAAGGGATAGATTTCTGTGCATATTGTGGTTATGTTTCAAGAACACTGCTAACGGTGACAACTTTGTTCTGGTTTGCTTAGCTTGTGCCAATACTCTTTGCTTACAGGTATATGACTCTGCTTACCCTTACCTTGAAGCCATGACTCCAAGAGGATTTCACTATCATTTGGAAGATTTTGAGCCCTATCCTTGTCTTCCTTCAGAGAGTAAAAGGCAAAAGCGGTATTTGATAGCTCCCTGGTTTCAAAGTCAGGCTGATGTTTATAGTCTGTTCAAGGTGAGTGACATCTGCACTGAAAAAAGCTTCCTCCAAAACCTGTTCTGCTCTGTTACGGCATTGACTGGAGTTCCTTGGGTAGGACACATTAATGATTCTTAATTGTGAAGTAAATCACAAGATCATGTTTAAAAAGAAGATGAAACTGTAGAAAAATTAGGTTGTGGGGGTTATGGAAAGGCAATTCAGTATTTAGGAAAAAAAAGTTCCCCTGCTCATCAGCATAAACCATATAATGGAAACTTCCCAGAAGTGGCCATTGACAGCTCTATGTTTCTATGAAATTCCTCCAATCTCATCTATGGACTCTTCCCCGTGGCTCAGTTAGTGCTCTCTACTCACCTATGAACCAGCAGAAAAGCCAACTGGCTTATAGATATGGCTATCCCCATTGCCCATCACAATTGCTCTGCCCTGGCTTACAGCTGGAGGACAGTGTCCTCATTTGTCTTGCAGGGAAAGTTGTGCTCTTCACTTGAATATCACCAGCCAGCAGGAAACCTTCCACCAAGTACAGAACTGCTGCTGTCAGTGATGGTTTGGACCTGTGGGTTTAGAAGTCTGTTGGAACTTGCCTTCCCATCGTCTGTCAACTCTCCCAGCCTGGGAATCAGGATGAGAGGAGTCACATGTCAGGCCTTCAGTCCCTTTGGTCTCTTAATACATAGGATTGAAGATCTGAGGCTTACCCTATTTGCCCATCTCCTCTCCCTGCCTGAGGATCAGCTGTTGGGCTGGGAGACATGGAAGAAGAGGATGAGCTGACTCAAAGAATTGACAGATGTGCATGGAGGGGTTGCACAGTGCAGCAGCAGAGTCCTTCTGGCTTCACAGCACAGCCACCCCCAACACAGCACCTGCTCCCTGGGCAATTTGCCACTTAGCTCTCTCTCACCTGAGCTCAAAAGTAACAACAAAACTGACAGACACAAAGAAGGGGAATTGAATGAGCCAGCTACTTCACAGCACATTCAGCTGTCAGGCTATTCTTAACTTATGTGGTGAAGCAGAGGGAAGGGGGATAGTCTGTACCAGCCTAAAAGGGCCATGAAGTGCTGGACTGATCCTAGGGGCCATCTGACTGGGATGCCAAAAGAATGATCGATGGAGTGTCTCAAATGGTGCTCATGGTAAAACTGATGCAGTTTGTTGCCTGTTTAAGGAAGAAAGTGCTATTGTAACGCTAGAAGCTGCTTCTGATTTGTGCTATGGGCAAGATGAAGATGACTTTGTGGTGAGGTTGCCAAGCATGTAAGTGCTGTGGTTAGATGCAAGTGGGGAAAGGCTTTGTGTGCATAGATATTTGGATGTATTCATTGAATAGGGACCACAAGAATAGATTGTAGCAATGGAGTGTTAATTCTGAAATCATTCAAATATGGTGGCTCTAAAATGAGAAAAGGAAGGCAAAAAAACAGCTTACCATAACAGGTTCTGCAAATGGAGCTTCATGTAATTTATTGTGTAAGTCTTCCCATATGTTGGCTTATATGTGATGAGCCTCTTATAACTCAAAGTGGAAAGTGTTTACACATTGTGGTTTATCTGCATTTTTACAGTGAAGTAATCTGAAGTCACCTCTTACAATGGTGCAGGTAGACCTGGACCTCGGGCTGAAGTCCAAGATTTCACAGCCTAGGAGTCTCCAAAAAAGGTTATTCAGATAGCTACCAGTGATAGAGGCAGTAGCAAATATTATCCTTTTCTACCACAAAATTGGTAGAAAGTTGTTTATTCCCAAATAAATATCTTTAGTTGCATTAAAGAATAGTCATAATTTTTTTTTATAAGTTCAGTTTGCCAAAATGTTTTTTTCATGCACTTGTTTATTATACAAAGATGTTGAAACAGCTGTAGAGGATGGGATGGGATGGAAGGAAAAGAGTACACAGTGCTGGTTATGTACCTGACAGCTGGCTTAATGTGGATAGCCTTCTAACAACGATGTAGATGGACTTCAGAAGGTTACTGTATGGAGTGGAGTTGAGAGCACTTTGTGATGATTCCCTGCCAGATATGTAAATATTTTTGCTTCCCAAAGGTTGCCTTCTGTTGTATCTCATTTTCAAACTACCCTTCATTTTTCTGTTTTTTTCTTAATGTCTACAGGAGGTGGGTATGAAACTTTTCACCAACACCAGAGTTAAGAAGCCAGTGTCCTGTGAGCTGCACCATTTTGAGAGAAGGGTCAACAGCGTAGGACTCACACTGTACGGTGAGAATCACAGCTATCACGTGGTAATTTTTCTGCTGAAGTGTTTTTAAGGATAGCACAGTGGAAAGGGAGTTGACCAATCCCAGCCACAGCTGCACTAATAGCTAAAAATAGGCAATGCTGTTAAAGTATAGGTGATTTGGCTGAAGCATCAGACCAAGATTAAGCAATATTTGGGGGATGGTGCCAGTATTTGGATTTTGAAAGTATATGGTGGATACTCTCACAAAATGACTGCCATGGGTGGTTAAAGACAGATTGCCTATTCCAAAAATAGCTGCCATGATGACCTTGCTTATTACAAAGCCTCCATTTATCAGAAAGCAAACAAGTGAGGTTCCTTGCCATTTTCAAAGCCACCCAATGTGTTTTTTATTAGGACTATGCAGCTGTTCAGATTTAAACACAAAAAGCTATATACTGTTATAAATACTGTGTTACTGGGACTTTAATAGTAGCTGCAGCACAAAACAAGGAGCCAAACCTGGGAAAATGCAACAAAGGAATTTTGATGCAATATTTGGTTTTTGAAAATGCATATATAAGTAATAAAAATGAAGGGCTGTTTTGACAAAGTATAGCCTGAGCCAGTGTGATATAGTGGTGAAGGTGCTGGCCTAGAATCAAGGAGACTGTGAGTTCTAGTCCCGCCTTAGGCATGAAAGCTGGCTGGGTGGCTTTGGGCCAGTCGCTCTCTCTCAGCCCACTTGCCTCACAGGGTGGTTGTTGCAGAGAAAATAGGAGGAGGAAGGAGTATTAGGTATGTTTGCCACCTTGAGTTATATATAAAAAGGCGGGATAACTAATAATTATACTAATAATAACTTTAAAAAATATTCCAACCACGTGTGCAACCAAGGCCATTAACAATCTAGTGGGCTATGAGTCTTGACTCCTGAGAAAAGAGAGAGTCCTGGTTTAGATAGCTGGGCAGGTACATGAAGAGGTCCTCCTCCCCCATGATGTGGACACACCTGGAAAAGTTTTGAATAGTTTCAGTCCATTATGCGAAAAAAGATACAGCTTCAGGCAGTTAAATGCGTACCCATTTTACCTCTGGGAAAGCATTAAATTTGCGGTTGACAGATTGTCAGTACTTACCCTCTTGTCATTGCCTCTCCCCCACCTCCCCGCAAGCTAAGACTTACATTTTGCATCTACTTACAGGATATGTGATTCACCTTAAAAAAGACTTCCCTGTAGCTGAATCATTAAGCGATAGTAAGCCGCAGGCTCTTGATTTGGCCTCCAAGAAGAAAGAGGAAGCCAAACCTATGCCGCAGGCTCTTGATTTGGCCTCCAAGAAGAAAGAGGAAGCCAAACCTAGAACATACTTTCCAGACACATGGATTTGGAATCTGATCCCTGTTGAGTAAGTCAAAGTCTGCTGGGACAAAATGTCATTTCAGAGGATGAAGTCTTCTGCTTTAGCTGTTACTGGCTGCAGTGAAAGAAATCAGATCCTCCATATCCTGCAGAGGGCCAAACGCTTTCAAACATATTGCTGTCTGGACACCTGTATCTGGATGCTTATATTTACTCAATATATATTCAGTGTATATTTCTGAACAAATCTCTAATTTCTCTTTAGAGGCTGATCAGAGGTTTGTCTGATCAGCAGTTAATTTTTACATATTTAGATAATGAACAACCAGGTTGTCTGTCTTGATCTCTCCAAGAAATAATCAGTCCTATTAAATCCATTAAAACAGGAACAATACCTAACCCGGATAGTACAAGAAATACATTGTTGTTATTTTGGCTTCATTTCTACTGGAAGTGTATAAGGCAGCCTTCTTAAATCTTCTCCTTGCCTCTTTTAAAGAAGCATATAACTGTGATTCTGAAGCCTGGTGAAGACCCTTCCCATTGTTCAAGCAGTCATCCAATTTCTTTCTTAAAAGTGGGTACAAAATATTGACCGCTCCATTAGCATATAGACTGCTTTTTTTTTTTCCTTTCAGTCCTTTTTGACTTCTGGCGACTGCCTGGACTAGTCCCTGCAGTTTTCCAGGCAAGATTTTTCTGCCTCCTTCCTATGGCTGAGAGGGATTGGCCCAAGGTCACCCAGTTAGCTTCATGCCTCAGCCAGAACTAGAACTCATGGTCTCCCAGTTTCCCTTTGGTTATTTGCATATGTGGTTTTATAAAACATCTGGCAATATTGGATTATTATTATGTATTTTAACTTGTATGCTCAGAACTTCCCAATTAATGAAAAGGGAAGTAGAAATGCTTGAAACGAGTTATCCCAAAATATGGATTTCCTTAGTTTTTATCAGCTAGATAATTATCAGTATCCTACCGGTTGCCCCAGGATTTCTGCAAGTCTTCATCTGTTAAGATGTCCTGAGGAACCCTAAACCACCAATTTATCTCCTCTTACTTGCCTTGCTTACTTACCTTATTTGGTATTGGAACCATTGGCATCAGCCTGCCTTTTTCAACAAAGTGATGGTATTTCAGATATAATGGCATAAACTTCATTCTGATGGCATATGAGACTTTATTTACATAATTATGCATCTTCTATACCGAAATGTATTTATACTATCTAATAGTTCCAAAATTTATTAAGTTAATCCTTTAATTGGAAAAAGTACAATCTGTTTCCCATAAGTTCAAATGTCTCTATAGAAATGTGTAATTGGCAAGAAATAAAACCCCATTTAATTGTTGTATAAATATTTCAATATTGGGGAATAATTATTCCATGGAAACTTTCCTCAGTTCTGACAATAAATTTATTAGATTTTTATCACAGATGAAAGTTGATCTAAAAAGGTGGTTTAAAATTCCACAGACCCTATGGGGAAAGATAAATTGTAATTTAAATGAATATTGCTTTAGGAGTGATATATGATATCCTATGGTAATACTTCTAACATTTTAAACAGATTCATACGAGATTAAGACCATTTCAATGCAAGGACTAGCCCCAGTTTTTTCTTTAACTACCTATAGTTACTATATGAAGATGGGGGCAGGGGAGAGATTACCCTGATTTGTTAATAGTGTTTTCTGACCTTAATTTCCCTATGGAATGTGGGTGATCATGTAAAAAAATCCATCATGGTCATAATTATAGCATTTATTTATGATTTTGATTTCTTCAGCCACCCATTTGTACAAGATTCTGGGTGGCTTACAAAGGTTAAAACTAGTAATGTATTGTAAACAATTTAAAATAAAATAGAAATGGCCATGCCGGGGGATAAAACCACAACAATGAATAACAAATCACTCAGGCTCACTGGTGGGCTCACATAAGATCATAGGCCCAGAACTGTGGAAGGAGCCAACATTTCAAGGGTCTTTCATTATGGGAATCCTATAACTTTTCATCATAGTTGAGGCTTCACTCCATATTTAGCCCTAGTCCTATTATAATTCCTTCATCAATGTCTGCCAGACTTAGAGCAGAACCTGTTAGTTTAAAAAGAAAAAAAACCCAGAATCAATTATCAAGAGACAAAGCTAGGGCAAAAAAACAACGTTTGGAATTTCAAAAAAAAAATTGGAATTTATCGTTATATAGAATTATGTCTTTATTGTGAATAGCAAGGACAATAATTATTTAATATTAGAAAGAGTCACCCCAGATTTGGATTATAGAGCTGTGGTTACTTTTCATTTATGAAATGGTACTACTTCAGTGCAGCAGAAACACAGATAAAAATGGTCTTTCATCAGGTCAAAGCTTAATAATCTATTTAAAATGATCTTTCATTGGTCAAAGTTTAATGATCTATTTAAAAATTGGAAAGAATTATATCCTCTGTATGGAATATAATAACTGTTTGTTTCCTTTTTCTTTCTTTTTTGTGCATATTAACAATACAGGTAGTCCTCTGGAGTCCTTGGGATTCTCTAAGCTTGGTTGTTTTCTTGCAAATGTTTCATTTGTAAGAAAACAACTAAGCTCAGAGAACCCTAAGGACTCCACAGTTCAACCCTGAGCTACACATATTCTCTTCTATTGGTACAGGTAGTCCTCGCTGTCTGACCACAATTGGTCGCTAAGTGATGTGGTCATTAGGTGAAACATCACATGACCGCATCACTTAGCGACCGCAATCCTGGTTGCTGTTGTTAAGTAAATGTCCTGGTCATTAGGTGAAGCAACTTCTTTCTGGCTTCCCACAATCAAGCCAGTGGGGAAGCCAGCAGGAAGTTGCAAGCCCTAGGCACTGCCAGGTAGGGGAGGGAGCAAGTGGGCTCATGGGGATGTGTGGGAGGGTCAGGTGCACGGGGGTGTGGGTTGGGTACCACTCCACACCTGATCTACGCACCCCCATGCACCCCCTCACTCCCTCCCCCACTTGCTCCTTCCCCCATCCTCCATAGCTGAAAGTCTTGCTTGGATTTTCAGCATGAAGCTTTTTCAGGCAGCTCCCAAAGCCCCGTGCTTTGGGGGCTGCCTGAAAAACCTTTGTGCTGAAACTAAAGCAGGATTTCATCACGAAGGTTTTCAAGGCTGCCTGAAAATGCTCCCTGCCAAAATCAGGCAGCCCTCAGAAATGAGAGGGAGTCCTCTTAGCAGGCAGCAGTTGGTTTGCAACCTTCCCTGCTGGCTACTTTCCCAGTAGGTGGAACGGAAGATTGCAAATGGCAATTACATGAGCGTGGGGCTCTTGGCAACCAGTCGTAAAGGTGAACTGATTGCCAAAGGCCCAGTTCACTGTAACTTCGAGTCAGGTCGTAAGTCCCTTCGTTCAGCGCTGTCATAACTTTGAACGGTCGCTGAACGAACGGTCAGATAGCGAGGACGATCTGTAATAATATAAGTAATTTTATATTTTATTTAAATTATTTTTAA